AACTATGGAAGACAGCGGATCGAAGAGTTGAATTAACTTCCCAATTAGTATTAACGACAAATTCATATTTCAGGGAAAACGTACATCAACCCTAAGCCAAATTAGTCTGTGCATGAGTTATTCTGATAACACATCAGTTGTACAGGACCCTCTTTCAAATAATTTGGTATGCCACTGGTACAGAGCTTTGACTCGTGTTGGATTTTTTTTGTTGTTCCAGAGTACCTGTAAGCTTAGAAAAAAATAAAGCCACCACAATCTTATTTTTCAACATCAAGATGAAACAATTCCCATTTACGGGGAGCTATCACCTTAAAACTACAACAGAAATAAATATTTTTGAAACTACTGTTGTAATAATTTGTAGGTTGGTGACCTTACAACAACCTAACTTTCCTGTTGTCTGGTTTGTGCATTTCCTACCAGTACACAAACACCTACTTTTTCTAACATCCATAAAAGAGCAATACACACATTCACACATTGCCATTAAATATGAAACCTTAAAAAATGGCAAAAGCAGCTTATTATTTGCAAACATTGCAAGATTTCACGGCAACAAAATATCTAACAACCAAAGGGAAAGGTTTTCTGACTACTTATGAACATCTCATCAAACTCAAATTCAGATTATTTACATTTATATCAGCTGCTTTATTGTGTTTTAAAAAGAAGCATTTCAGTCACATCGTTCAAGCTTAGCTTATTTCTCTAGTTCAAGAACAAAGACAGTATTGACCCTCACAACCGGTCCTTTCTCCAGGAACTGGATCATGTTGCCTTGCTGAACAAACCAGTCTCAGCTGCTCAGCTTCAATGACAAGCTGCATGGGATGCACGGGAAGTTTTTATCAGGACAACCCTTTTATATTCATATGCTTGTTCTATAAAGAATCATTGCCACACCTTTTTTTTTGGGGGGCGGATTACAGCATTTCTGAGGACTTTCTTCTGTCAGACTGGAAAGTTCACTGCTTCCAAGGACACAAAGCCCTCACCCTCCCTCTAGCAAGTCACTTGCCATAACCCACCAAGGCAGAGAAGCAATTGTTCACCATCCCTTTTTCAGGCAGTATTTTAACCAGCTCTAAATATTTTTAAATAAACTCTCATCTGCACCTACTCTTTGGCCTTACTTTTCAAGCAAGTTCTTCCACTTATGAGAAGAACACTTTCCAGGTGAGGTTTTCTTTCCCCATAGCAATGATCCCACCTGCAAGGTCTTCCCTTCTCCTTCCCACCCACCAGAGGAACGGAGACTTCTCCCGTTCTCCCTTTCTGGGGCAACTGGAGAAAGAAAAAAGCAGAGGACTGCTAAATAAGCACACAGAAGAAAACAAACTCCGACTTTCCCAAAGCACAGCTTTCCAAAGCACAGTCTTTGGAATGAAGCCCACAAAAAAGGATTTTAAGGAACATTGTTTTAACTACAAGGATGGCTGAAAAAAAAACTACACAGAGAAGTCAGTGCTGAACAAACCACTGCTAGGAACTGCAGTCAAACAGTTATTCTGATCCTGTTATCTCTGGGGGAAAAAGCTAGTATCTTATGTTTTCCTTCCCTTCAACTGCCCCTCAACCCTGTGTCTGGTTTTAACCTTACGCAGTCTGGCTTTCTGTTCTCCTCGTTCCTGCTGTGCCCCTCTTTTCTGACAGCTTACTGCTTCGTATGTCTGAAGGCCATGTACTCTCCTGCCCCAAGTCATGACCTATCACAGTCTATGGAAATAAAACTAAAAATTACAGAACAAAAGAGATACATTGTTCTGTTGTAAAAGCAAGGTATGCCATATTTTCTTGCAGTTGGTTTTTCCTGAACAGAGGCAAGATGAGGTCCAATTTTCAGTATCATTTCTAAAAATCAAATAATAAATGAAGTCTTGTAATGATGCCCTGCAGAAAACCAAGAGCATCACCAGAGGGATAATGGCTGCCCAGGTACATACTGTTTATACAAATTTAGATAAGATACTATCCAGTTTAATAAAACTTCTTTGTGCTCATTTAAAGCAGAACCTTTCATAATTAGTTTTTATGGATTTCATTTCATCAAAAAAAACTTTTAACATCTGTGTAAACAAATTCCATTCACTCTCATCAAAAAATCTGAAAATCGTGAATGATCTTGATAACAGTTTTGTCATGGTGTAATGACTTTCTGAGCTCATGCTGAGCCATTCTGGTCACACAGGAGCTTTGATGCAAGGCCTGCAGTCATGAAACACCAGTCAGCAGCAACTTTGTAAATGAGCTTCTAGCACTTGAATTTAAGCAAGAGAAAAGCCTGATCCTACCCAAATTCTATTCTAACTCAGAGTTGGAGAAAAAAAAATCATTTTAAGGTATGCCTGAATTGATAGCTCTCCCAAGACATACTCGGACTCCCTAGCACACAAGTACATGATGCACATGTGAAAGGACAGCGAGGAGACCAGTTATTAAAAGGGTGTTGGCTTCCCATTCTCAGAAATTCACGAACAAATTCTGTTTATGGTTACCTAGATTTCTTGCAATTTCAATAACTAAGTAAATATTACATCTCCAGTATAGGTGATACTCTCTACTATCACTTCTGCACTCAATTTTGCTATCTGTAGTAATGGGCCTAATAAACGCAGTACCAACACTGCAAAACAGGACTGCTTCAGCCATCCACTGATCGCCTACAAACCTCCCTCCTTGCCAAGAAAATGTAATGACAAAAAGAACAACAACAACAACAGGGAAAAAAGAAGTCCAACATTTTTCCAGTGACAAAAGCAGCACAAATCTTCACTCAAATATTTAAAAACAAAACAAACCTCAATTTCAGTTGATGTCATTCATCAGGCAGTCCAAGAAAAATCAAGGGGGTAGTGCTCCTTTCTTGGCTTTATATGTTTTTGAAAATCTTTATCATGAAAGATTTGTGTAATTGTACTGGAAATAGAGCATTTTAAAGGAGTTCTACCACCACATATGAAAATTGGGATAACAATTGCATTTTCTTGTTTATCTTTTCAGTTGGTGTTTTCAAGAAGTTGTGTATCTTCAGATATTGTGCAAGTCCTTTCCTTCGAGTCCACATTTAGATCAAGATCATTACAATTTCACCCACCCAATGCCCTACACAAAACATAAATGTCATCACCATCAATCTCAAGAAGCTCTGTATGACAATTAACATTAATAGAATGACCTTCTCCAGTTAGATTTTCATTAGTAAATTAAGGTGGAAAACAGTAAGTGGCACCACTTAGCCAATTTGAACAGATTATCTGCATCATCCTTCATGATGTCAGTCAATACCCAGTTGGAGCAAGAAGCTCAGCAATTTGAGATCCAGTACAAGACATCATATTAACCACAAAGTTAATGACTTTTTTTTTTTAATCCCTGTAGTAACTGTAAAGTATTACCAGACAAGTTTGCAAGCTTGGCTGCTCCGGAAAGCGTGCCTACAAAGCTGCAAGGCATGAACAAGAAACCAAACCCCAGCATGCCACATTTCCATGTGCATATGCATAGTGTCAGGTCAGGTCTGTAGTTATTTCTGATGAAGGCTAGAGAATTTGACCACAGTGCTAGTGAATAAGGAGACAGCCAAAAGCTGGGTAGGAGAGCATGCGCCAATTTCTCAAACAGGCCAGGACATCCAGACCACAACCTAGCTGCAGGAAAGCCTCCAGACACTTTGTCTTCTATCAATAGTCAAGTGTTGAATATAGCAAACGCTTCCATGCCAAATCTTCATGCTCTGCTTTTTTTTTTTTTTCCTGTTGTTGTTTTTTTAAATTTTTAACCAAATTTTGTCAAATAGACTCTAGATGTTCATTGCTGCCTAACCTGTACAAAAAAGGAAAGGCAGTAAGGATGTGCTCCCCAGCCCTGCCCATGTATTTGGGACCTGCTGGGCTTCCTTTCTTGGCAGATGAAGAGGGTGCTGCTGGGGATGGCTCATGCTTTGAGAGTGGGTGAGGAACACTAACGTTGCACTGCTGAATCCCATCCCAGGATGGCATTTGTCTGTTCTTGATGCATTATTCACATTCAGATTTGTTACTTGGTCAGAAAGAGTAACTGAAACCAGAACACTTTTGCATAAGCTCTCCACTGGTTAAATCAATTTATTGTAAACCACCCAGTTTGTAGGGAGAAAAGAGAAGTTGTAGAAAGGGGAAAGCAGTCTTTTAGTCTCTGTCCTTTGCTCACACCACAGTAAGAATCTTGCAAAAATTACAAAAATGAAAACCTTGAGAATATACAGCTGTGTGGTAGTAAAAACTGCTTGGCAGCGAACTACTTTGTTCACTCCCTTGCAAGGCACAGAGCTTGATTTCCCTTAATGGCTAATGATTGAGCTGTGAGAACAGGATGAACAGCCAATATACCTGAAACATGAGGAACATGAGCCTTCAGTTTTTCCTGAAAGGCCAACATGCTTTAGAAAAAAAGACAGATTTCTCCTGTGCCTGGATCAACACTGATCTGATACAATATGAAAGACAAATGGAAGACACTCCACAGTGTTTGAATAGGTTTCTTCATCAGAATTGAGAGGAAGAATCAATACAATCAAACAGAATACAAAAATGTTTACCACTTCATGCCACTGTACTGAATAGTCAATGATAAACTGCTACCCAAGAACAACATATATTTCGCCATGTACTTGCAAGGTGAAAATTTGATAACAGACAACTCCTGAGATCAATTTGCCAGCATGAGTATTGGTCAGAAAACTCTCACTGGCTTGCCCATTTCAACAGAAAACAGCCACACACTGTAGCAGAAAGTTTAGCAAACATACTACACTTAAAAACACAACACTCAAACATTTGCCTATGGATGATAAAATAACAAAACAAAACAAACAAGAAAACCCCATACTACATTAAAACTCTGTGAATTCAGATCTCTAAATAAGAATGTCTACAGTAATGACAGGTGGCGTACCAGTTTATGCATTAGTAACTAAACCAAAACATCCATGCAGTATAATAAAACAGCAGAAATCCTACCTGCACATTTTGTCCTTGTTGTGAGTGGTGGCCCAGGTGGCCCCGTGCCTCCTTCTCCAGGGCGAGTCAGCAGCACTCTGATCTCATACTCCACATCAGGGTCCAAATGCCACAGTTTGTAATTAGGGGAATCTACAATGTGCGTTTCTGCCCAGTTCCCAGTGGTCGTCCGATATTCCACCTCTTTCAGTATGATGGGCCCATCTCCAATGATGGAGTTGGCGTTGGGTTTGATCCACAGGTAGGTGGCTCCGACCGCCAGCAGCTCAGGAGGGGCAATAGGAGTTGGGGGTTCTGTAGACAAACAGAAATCATGAGAGGCCTGAGGCCGCTTTATCAAAAGGATTAACTTTTCACAATGTACCTGTATAGCAACGCCATCCCAATACCTTTTGTTAGAAGCAGAGTTCCTCCTGTTATTTAATGTAACTCAAAAAAAAAAAATCTGGCATCTTATTTGCTCTAAAGATTCTGTCCCCTTGCACTGGTATACCTATGTAGTTGGTAGCAGGATCGATTCAGAAACATCTACTTTGAAAATACAGTGCCCACAAGGCAACTTCTGCTGAAAATTGAAAGCAACAGTCACGTTTAGAAGATCAGAAGGTTACGGTTATTTCCTCTTTCATGCATATGCATAATGGCAGTCAATATAATCATATCATAGAATCTTACCATAGAATGGCTTGGGATGGAAGGGACCTCAAAGATCCACTAGTTCCAACCCACTGCTGTAGGCAGGGACACCACCCACTGCACCAGGTTGCCCAGGGCCTCATCCAACCTGGCTTTGGACACCCCCAGGGATGGGGCACCCACAGCCTCTCTGGGCAGCCTGTGCCAGGGCCTCACCACCCTCTGAGTGAAAAATTTCCTCCTAACCTCTAAGCTAAATCTACCCTCTCTTTCTTCTAACATACATACATATAGCTCTATATAACATATATATTTATAATATATAATAAGGTGAGGGAGGAAAGGAAGTCCTGCATAACACGAAGTACGCTCAGGCAGACCCCAAAGATAAAAACACTCCAGCACAACAGCCCTCCTGCTCTGCGACCTGACACGGCCGGGTATCGCGATCATCGGCTGTGCTATTGTGGTTCAGCCAAAGGGTAATGCTTAACATGGCACAACTACCCATGAGTGGAAAACTCAAGTCACTTGCTCATTACGGGATTTTACTGAGCAAAATAAAAGTTAAAAATGGGATATATTGTTAATTAAAGCACTGGCTAATTGTCTGAGAAGATACTAGTAGGTTTGAACACTGGGGATCTTCTGGGGGTCTAGTAGTCCAGATGCTGCTAAAACTGACTGGTGGTTTTGGTAGCAAAGAGTTAAAAAAAAAACAAAACAACAAAAAAAAAAAACCACCTAAGGTACCAGTGATTCTACACATGCTGTTGTGTTTGACTACAAAGTTTGCTTAACTACATGAGCAGAATTACTCAAGCAAAGTCTGAGACTTGAGGAGTGCCTAGATGTCTGAGAAGCATCACGAGGAACCCAGCCACTGAATACAACCTGTGTGGTAAAAAAGAAAAAAGCAAGCCAACAGCAGACATCTCAGCAGCACACTGACAAAAGCTACAAAAAGTCTACTGGGCTTTGGCTGCCTGCCTGATCCCCCCACCATGTGTATAAATAACACTTGCATATTGGAAGCCACATGAATAGCATATGCCTTGTGGTTTTGAAAACCTGAGCTGAACTGTGCAAGATTATGAGCAATTTCATTAATCTTGTCTAGCTTTCCCTCTGTCACACTATAATGTGGTTTGCCCTCGGCACAAAGGACACAAACTCTATTGTCTTGTTAAAATAAGGTGACAAAAAGCACATTTCTCTCTCAGAAAAATAAACCTATGAATGTTACAGCATGATACTAATTTTAGAGTCCTGTAGGAATTACTCTTTGCTGTGAACGCCTGTAGGAATTACTACTCCAGTTCCTGGAGGAATTACTCTAACCAATCCCCTGTCCCCCTTTCCAAAGGTGTTTCCTCAGAGAGCCCAGAAAAATGGAATAACCCAGGACCCACAGAAACATGGCAGAAAGGAGTTTGAGTGCCACAGGATGGGAGGAGCAAGAGGCTTTCCAGAGTTTTTCCCTCCAGAGAAGTTTTTCCAGTTAACATCTGCTCAGTGAAGAGAAACAAAAGCAAAGATACCATTATTATACACAATTACCAACTGAAATGGTACTTAATTTCATTTCCTCTGGCTAACTAATTACAATGAGCTACAGTATCTCTGAGATTGATTGCGGTAGGTGCACAGCGGTAGGTGCACATTGTACCTCCAAAAAAGCCATCTGCATTGTAACTGTAGCAGGTATCCAACATGAGCAAAAACTAGTGTCCTGAGCTAAATTTTTGCGTATTTGTTTCAGCCATTTATATTTTGCAATGCTCCCCTAACTCCAGGCACATTTTTTTTCTCCTGATATGAAATGTCAGGCTGATTATGTTTTGACTCAGTAAGGTTATTTCTCCAAGAAATTTGTTTTCGAGAAATGCATGTAGATACATTTTCATTAAAAATCAGATTACTATAAATCACAGCATATTACTTGTTTCTTGGTGCAAGACCATTAAAAGATAGACTTAGTGATTTTTATTCCCAATGCAAAAATGACATCTTACAAGTCACATCACATCTGAACACAAGACAAATGAAATATTAAGTCCCATTCTCCTGGGCTGCAGATACTTCAACAGCAACATGATCCAGGTTACTTTGGGATTTGATTGCAAGTTAAAAAGAGATTTATGGGACTGAGCTTAATTAATAGAGCAGTTTGTCCTGCTAAACAGACATGAAAGTCTTGTCTAGCAAGTTTAGAAACTAATGTTGCCAAAGCAAATTAAATTAAGACACCCAACAGTGATGTCTTCTCTATTTTAGGCCAGACCTAAACCAGCTCTCCTCATCTCCCCCCAAAAGGAACAATGGTTTCCAACCCCAGCCCCAGCTCCCCCACACCCCCCTTTTTTCCCTTTCTAAGCACCATTTGAGAAACGGGTGTTGCAGAATATTGAGAAATTAGAAATTGAAACTCTTGCTCCCATTTTCCAAATTCAGGAAATTAAGACAAGCGGAAGTTACAGCAATTTTTCAAGGCTGGATACCACCTCACTGAAAATAATGGGCTCGTTCCTAATGGCACCAACTGGATGAGAAACTATTCTTCAACATCACTCTGTGCCAAGCGATTGCAAGTGATCTAAACAAATTATTCATTTAGCAAAACCAACACATAAATAAGGACCATTTTTTGGCCTTTGTAACTAAACACTCTTGTCAGTTACAGATGACCAGCCTGATTTTTTAAGCTCACTATTTTAATTAAAATCTCTTATGCAATCTTGATTAAATAAACACGGTGACAGATTGGGCTTGTACACGTGTAATTGTGATCAACTGTATTTTAAGCCCCATTTGATCCATCCAGCCCATATTTATTCTTGCAGGCTCTGCCTAGCCCGGTGCGCCCCCTCAGCCCTCTCCCACCTCCCCCAGACCCCTCAGCGGCCGAGCCTGGACCCGGCCCAAAGCCCAGCCTCAGGAAGGACAGAAAAGGGGGTTCCCAGATGACTTTTTCAAGGATACAAAAGATGTACAGAGTACAAGCCCTACGGGGAGTTACTGAACACAAGCAGATTTTATTGTATGTGCCAGGCTGGTCCGGTTATGGAGTCTGGACTGAATTCAGGCTGTGGCTGCCTGCTCCCATTACAAGAGGGAAGACATGAAGTAACACGTGAACTTTAACCTTGGACAACTGCTCCTGAGTGTTTCCACCTGACTGCTCAAATACTTTTCTGTGTGATTTTCTGAAGGGGAAAGAAGAGGACAGGCAAGTGCTCTGTGACAAAACACAGGATGCAGCACGAGTGGAAAATATGAAATATGAAAGGAGTATGAATTCTACGTTTAGTTTTCCAGATATCTGTAGTCCTGTGGTAAAACATCAGGAAGGAAATGACCAGAATTTGGAGAAAGTCAATAGAAATCAGCTAAGCTCTGACAGTTGGGATCTATCAGGAAGGAAAAAGATGTTATAGAAGACAAATTATTCATTCCAGTCACCTTCACTGCACAATTTATTTTTTTCCCCCTCCCATAAAGATGATGGACTGTTAGTAAGAAAATCTTATATTGGAGAAAATCAACAAGCCCATCAGAAATGTGGCAGCAAGCAGTTGGTCTATCAGTCCTCGGTAGTGGTCTCAGCTGTTTTGGAGCTCCTTCATGGAACACAGAGCTCCTCAGGAAAAGATGAAATGCCTCAAATTTTGGCTACTATACTGCAAGAAACCACAATTTTCCCTACAGGAAGTATTGGGTAATCTTGTAAGTAATATCAGTAGATCTATGAAGTATAAGCAACTATGAAATGTAGTAGATTGACTATCATCCAAGTAAAAGGTGTGGAAGTTGCTCTCCCAGCAGTGTGACAAATACTACCCGGCCTGCAATGACTTTCATCTCGGAAACATACCTGGAGGTACATTAAGATTATTTCACAGAGTGCTTTTTCTGAATTCTTTTTGCCAACTTTAACCCAACTTACCTCTCATATCTAAAACCTCTGCCTGAAAGAGCACAATGAGATTGCTGAAAACTAAGCAGACTGATTGTTCAAAAGCCACAAAGAACTAAGGAGAAAGCTCCCTTTGGGCAAGAGCATATGATGAAGCAGACATGGCAAAAAAAAATTACTTGAAAATGCAGTTGCAAGAAACATGCTCAGTCCTAACTGAAACAAAGCTAAAACCATTAATTTTATTATCAATTACTAAACACTGAAACCTATGCTTATGTTCCATAAGGAGATAATCTTCTAAGATTAGGACAATTCAGAAGGTATCTAAATGTCTCCGTGACTGTCACCTGCATTAATTCTGTGTGAAAGTTTCCATGTATTACAGTTAGCGACTGTGCTGGCTTGACAGTTGATGAAGTTCAAACTATCCACCAAAATGACAAGTTTCACGGAAAGCTAAAAAGATCTAATGGACTGATATAGAAGGCAACCAAAGAAAGCTGGGAACAGAATGTTTGAATGAAATGCCCATCTGCTGCTCAGATTCACTGAATTACCTTAATGCATTAGCAATGATTTCTTTACAAGTGATGATTACTTTTGTGAGTGGACAATCTATGGTTCGTGGTTGATTTTGAAGTTCCAGGTCAACCACAAATTTGGAAAACTGAACAGTCTTATCTGTGGAAATACACTTTTATTGACATGGCACAGATCAGAACAGCGAGGTAATGATCTT